CAACTGTAACTTAATGTGTTAATATTGACCACCTTGTTACTTTGATTTTATACAGAGATCTTCAGTTACTAATGATTATCTTCTTTTTCAAATTTTAAAAACACTAAAACTCATTGCCTGCTTCCTGCATCTATGAAGTCCTTGCTATATGTCACTCCTTTTTTGGAGTTTTTGTCACTGTCTTTACTCCTTTATGAAGAACTATGTTTAATGTGCCTGCTCTATATCATAGTTATGAAGTGATGTGGGGGTAATGGAAAGATGAAGGGTATCTATTGAAAGAGCTTTAGTAAAACTTTTTTATTGTAAATTATTTCTGGTATATATATGGTTTGTTTCTGAATCTAATAGGTTTCATACGAAATTTTCTTAAGTTCAACATAGACTCCCTTCACAACTTTTTACATTTTATGATATGTTCAGTATTACAAACACTTATATGACATAATTGATGCATTTTAAAAATAATATAGAAATTCAAAAAGTACTTTTAAAGGTTATACAACCTCAAAACACTCTCCTTTTGAAATGGCAATAGTATACATTGAATTTTTCTTTTAAGCGTAACATTTAATAATTTTCTGAGGGATTTACTACACTTTAGGATTATAATTTTTGGTATAAATTAAGAAGGATATTAGTGTATAAAACCTTAAGATTTTTGCTCAAGGAAAGATAGACATTACTCAAAGATTTTTATGTATTTTATACCTTGTTTGCTTTTTTATTAAAAAAAAAAGTAGCCTTCAGAAGATATTCCCAAAGAGAAGAAAAGGTGTTTTTTCACAAACACTTTATGGGTACATAGTCGGCGTAAATATTTATAGGTTCTATTTATTTATGGGGTATATTTCAAAAAATATTCCCAAAAAGAAAAAAAGGTATGTTTTTACAAATTTTTTGTTGGTACATAGTAGGTATATATTTATGGGGTATTTATGATATACATAGTAGGTGTGTGTATTTATGGGGTACAGATATGCAATGTGAAATAACCATATCACAAAGAATGCGGTATCCATCCCCTCTAGCATTTATCCTTTGAGCTACAAACAATACAGCTTCACTCTAAGTTATTTTAAAATGTACAATGAAGTTATTATTGACTATAGTAACCCTGTTGTGCTATCAAAAAATAGTTCTTATTCATTCTTTCTATTTTGGGTACCCATTAACCATCCCTACCTCCCCTGCACACTGTCTCCCTGCCCCCCACCCCACTACACTTCCCAGCCTCTGGCAAACATTCTTCTCATCTCTGTGTCTGTGAGTTCAATTGTTTTGATTTTTAGATCCCACTAATCAGTGACAGCATGTGATGTTTGTCTTTCTGTGCGTGGCTATTTCACTTGACATAATGATGTCCAGTTCCATCTGTGTTTCTGCAAATGACTGAATCTCTCTCTCTTTTTTTTTTTTTGAGATGGAGTCTCACTCTGTCACCAGGCTGGAGTGCAGTGGTACAGTCTCAGCTCACAGCAACCTCTGCCCTTTGGGTTCAAGCAATTCTCCTGCCTCAGCCTCCTGAATAACTGGGACCACAGGCGTGTGCCACCATGCCCAGCTAATTTTTATATTTTTAGTAGAGACAGGATTTCACCATATTGGCCAGGATGGTCTTGATCTCTTGATGTCGTGATCCACCCGCCTCAGCCTCCCAAAGTGCTGGGATTACAGGCATGAGCCACCGTGCCCAATGCTTGTTTTTTTAATGGCTGAATAGTACTCCATTATGTACCTGTGATACATTTTCCTTATGCATTCATCTGTTAATGAAAACTTAGGTTGCTCCCGAATCTTAGCTATTGTAAACAGTGCTGCGACTAACAGGAGTGCAGATGTCTCTTTGACATACTGATTTCCTTTCTTTTGGGTATGTACCCAGTAGTAGGATTCCTGGATCTTATGGTAGCTCAATCTTTACTTTTTTGAGGAAGCTCCAAACTGTTCTCTATAATGGTTGTACTATATTCTTGTTGTTATTCACTTCTTATATGTGTAGTTTGCAGACATTAGAAACCTCAGAATCTCCCATTCTGAGGGTTGTCTCTTCACTTTGTTGTTTTTTTCTTTGCTGTGCAGAAGCTTTTTAGCATGATATGATTCAATTTTTCCATTTTTGGTTTGGCTGCCTGTGCTTGTGGGGTATTGAACAAGAAAGTTTTGCCCAAAAAAAGGTCCTGGAGATTTTCCCCAGTGTTTTCTTGTAGTAGTTTCATAGTTTGAGACTTTAATCCATTTTGATTTGATTTTTACACATGGAGAAAGATCGGGGTGTAGCTTCATTCTTGTGCATATGGATCTTTTTTCCAAGCACCATTTATTGAAGAGATTGTCTTTTCCTCAGTGTGTTTTTGGCACCTTTGTTGAAAATGAGCTCATTGTAGATATTTGGAAAAAAGGTATGTCTGTTACATATCTGCATACCCTGAGTGTTATTTTAGAAAAATCAGATTATGTTCTTTTATTATTATATAATTGCTTTAATTTTTATAATTATTTCAATAAGATTAATCTTAGCTTAACACAAAAATAAGCAAATGGAAGTGAGGATTTCATGTCACAAATCTAAAATAAATAAAATGAATTTCATAAAGAGTGAAAAAAAGCAAAACATTATTATATTAGCTAACCATAATATAATGAAAGAACTAGATTCTCTTATTTATAAATTTAAAAGCTAATGGCTGTAAAATGAAAGTTCTTGCAGAATCATCATCAGTAGCTGCCCTGGCATATAACCCTTTATTAATACACATACTTATAAATGTGTATTTTAAATTGGAGAGAGAGAATTATGTCTCTTTAAGATTCTTCTTTAAAAAACAAAACATGTGTGTGAATTCACAGATTCCATTAAAGGAAACATGCAAATGGTTGTCTTTTAGTTCAGATATTACTTAACACAGTTCAGGTAGTTAAATCAATATTCTAAATAATTTATTTAAGCCAGGAACTTGCCGCCTTCTCTTTTGATTCAGAGACCAAGAGTGGAATGATAATGCGAGTAAGATCCTCTCTGGTCTCTCTTCAAAGTGGGTGAGGCACATCTCGGCACCTTCATAGGCTGTGTCATCTACACTCCCTATGTCCGTTTGTCAAGATCAATAGGTCTGCCTAGAATGCTTTTCTCATCATTATCTGTGTTTTGTACTTTTTTCTGAAATATTTGTGAGTTAGCATGGGACTGTTAGCAAAGGTCAGCAGTTAAAATTTCACCTTAATTTACTTTCACCCATTCATCCCTTTTACTCAGAACATACTATCGATGGGGCTGGTCTATGGGAGAATGAGTGTGTGACTAGTTTCTTGCTCCAGGAGCTTAGTTGGGAATATACAACATACAAGAGTATATACATATAACAACATGCATTGCACATGTGCAGTTGATATCCTGCACACTTCTGAGAGGCAGATAGGTACAAAAATACCTCATCATAGACGGTAGGATGTGTTAAGTATCGTATGTGTGTTTTAGACAGCAAAAACAATAGGGATTTAGAAGGTGAGGAGAGCATCACAGGTCAGAGAGCAGTGCAGGCTGTAGAGAAGAAGTAAATCCCACCCAGACCTTGAAATTGTATTAAGTGTTGGCAAGAAAGAGACAAATTTAGAGATAACCCGGTTTTTTCTTCATTCTATCCTCGTGGAGGGGACTTAAAAATTGCTTGTTACATCTGCGAATAGGATTGTCGAGGTTCTGCATCCTTGCCTGCCTGTAGGGGAGCAGGAGGCATAGAAAGAAGGGGCGTGTCAGATCAGGCATCCATGGGAAGGACATAGGACCAAAGGGACAATGTGACAGGAGTAAAGGCTTCACATAGGGAATGTCAACATGAGATCAGAGAGACGTTTAAAGCTAGATTTGGGGAAGACTTGAAAATAAAACTGAGAGCTTTGAACTCTGTCCTGTAACTAAATGATTATTTTGAACTCGAGTAATATAATAAAATTAGTTACAAAAGATGTGTCTACTTACAAAGAATTGCTTAATCATATCTATCAGGTTGCGCAAAATTCTAATCGACAGTTTAATCATGTGTTTTTGTAGACACGGCACCTTACATTCTTATACATGTAACTATTGGAGTGAACTTAAAATTTCATCATCTGGGAAACTAAACTTTGGAAAACCTAATGAGTTGGCGGTAACAGGGCTAAACTCAAAAAGTAGATTTTCCAAGTCCAGTGTTCTTTAAAATCCTGCTTTTGAATATTATGTACTCTTTGAAAGGTTTAAACTGGTCCAGGTGATGCTGTTGCAGTGAAAGAGAGGGGACTTAAGTATGTCTCTTTATTGTTGTTTTGAGAATGAGAAACCTAGTTATAACCCAGAGATGCAAATGGTCCCTTTTTCTTTGCCTAAGGCACTGCCTAAAACCACAGCAAGAGAAACACTTTGGGGGAGAGCCAGTCCCAAGACCACTAGAAGCCAAACAGAAGCACTGGATTTTTTTGTTTTCTTTAGATTTAAGATGTCATATGAGTAAAGGAGGTTGAACTGTTTTGGCAAAGAAGCTGATAAAGCCTTCAAACTCAAGGGGTGGGGTGAATGGTATTTGGTGAGTTGCTTGTCTCCTGAGGTGAGCTTCATGAGCTAATAAGTCTTTTCCATCTGTGAAATCAAAAGACAGATTTTACAGCATTTGGCAGAGAGGGTTAAGCATTTGGGGACCACATGGAGATTATATAGAGGAAAAATCAAAGGGGAGAGCTGCCTTTTGGCTGCAGCAAGCATCAAGCTTCAGCTCATCCGTAAACAACCCACCCCTCCCCTAGAAAAAGGATAAACCAGAATATCACTCCAAAAAGCTACCACATGTCAAAAATTTTTTTCCTGCTCTCAATGTTTGTATCAGATGTTTCAATTTAGTCCCCTCATGCTATGCATGATGTTCTGAAAAGGTGCAGTCAGATTTAGAGCATGTAAAAAGAGAGAGAAAGAGAGAGAGAAAGAGAGAGAAAGAGAAAGAGAGAGAGAGAGAGAGAGAGAGAGAGAGAGAGAGGGAGAGAGGAGATTGATTCATCCAACTCTTGATTTGTAGTGATTTCTACTTCCAGTTAGAGCCATAGAGCATTTCTACTCTTCAGCTGTGGCAATAGGGAAGAAATGGCGAATGGAAGTCAGGTGTAGAATGTAAATTACTTTCTAAAACAGACATACACACACACGATCAATGTTAGAGCCAAATTTGGGGGACCTCAAAATTTGGAATCTGTTGGAGTACATATTTTTCACTATTGATGCATGCTATATCATTCTGTCAACAAATATTTTAAAAGCACCATGTAAGCAAGAGGAACTGATGCAGAGTGGTTTCAGCTGACTGAGAGCCAGACTGTTCCACCAAACCCGGGCTTCTCAGCCACATCAAGCAACCTTGGGAAAACACTGTGGTCTGCAAAGGCAACATTCCCTCACTGGCAAAATGAAGATAGAAACACTGCCTAAAGTGAACTAAATGAAAGAACCTGTTTTGTGTGCATGGTAAGTGCTCAATAAATATTCCTCATTAGCGTGATCTTGTACCAGGCAATAACCTTAACCAGACTCTTGTTACTACATGAAAATTCTTGTGTTCATCTATGGTAGACTCAGATTTGTATTCTTCACAGTGGCCCTTGGAAATGTTTCAGCCAATTTATGTTACCATTCTTGTGAGACCTTACCATTCCAGATGGTGAGATCTTGGAGGGCCGGGATTACATCTTATTTATTCTTGGATTTCCCAGATGGGCAGATAGATTCTATACACTGAAAACATTTACTTAGTAAATGTGGGAAGTTCAACAAGTATTTATTGAGTGCATTGTCATTATTTAACATTTAGTTTCATTGAATAGGAAAGACATACATCAAATGATAAAATAATACAAATGGGAAGACGATGAAGCCAAAGCCATGTACAGAAAATAAAGGCTGTGGTCATTTCTGTATTCCTTTTTCTGTTACTTATAACAGCATACTTGAAACTGGGTAATTTATAAAGACACAGAATATATTTCTTACTGTTACAGAGGCTGAGAAGTCCAAGGTCAAGGGACCATATCTAGTGAGGGTCTTTTTGCTGAGGACTCTACAGAGTCCTGAGATGAGGTGGTGCAGGGCCTCACACAATGAGAGGGCTGAGTGTGCTAGCTCAGGTCTCTCCTCTTTTTATGTAGCCACCACTCCCACTCTCATGATGACCCATTAACCCACAAATGGATTAACATATTCATGAGGGGACGACCCTCATGACCCAATCACCTCTTAAAAGCTGCACTGCTCAAAGTTTATGCAAATATAAGAGTTTTTCACTAAAAAGGAGAGGTCATTAAAGGTGGGTGGAGTGTGGTGGTGTCACCAGTGTCCAAGAGGTAAGGGACAATATTGGGGATAAAAGTTCAACATGAGTTTTGGAGGGGACAAATATTCAGACTGTACCAATCTTTAAGAGAGGGACAGTGTCAATGAGGCTGAAGACCTAACTTTGTGTCTTGAAAGAAAGGTAGTTAATTTTTACATATACAGGCAGGATAATAGTATGATCATCCTCCCTATGGGAAGCCATTATTCATTTTGAACAGAAAAGTGGTAAACTGATGACAACAATGTCCAAGGAAGAGTAGTTTATAAAATCTTTAAAAGTATCCTGGGGCAAGGAAAGAAAACGTTACATATGTTTTTAGAAATAGATCTTTTAATATTATAGAGATGGGGAAATTGTAGAAACAGTTTAAATTTTTCCATCCTTTGGCAGAGTAGAATATTAAGGCCATGAGAGTTTAATAATTTTAAAAATTCACAATTTGATAATTTTTAAAAAATGTATATCATTAATACTATTGTAATATTGGGGTTTAGCATGCCCTTAGCTCCCCTGACAGGACGTTTCTCCAGGATTTTGGTTTCCTGCCCTCTCAAGAATGAGAGAGGGGATGATGGCGCAGTGCACAGTAAATGCCGGACTTTAAAGTGTTTGTAGAAAGTGATTTATTCAGAGAGAGAGAGAGAAACAGGAGAAGAAGAGAGAGAAAAACAGGAGAAGGAGAGAGAAAGCAACAGCTAACTCTCACACTGAATGAGAGAATCCAGAAAGATGGAATCCAGGAGAGGAAAGCAGCTTCGACACTGAGTGGAAGTGAACAGAGGGAGATGGAGTTTAGGAGGGGAAGACAGGCTTCCACGAAGCGAGTGCTCCTGGAAGGGGACTCCAGATGGAAAATCCAGGATAGAGAAAAACAGCTTCCATGAGCACAAGAGTGTTCGTGGAAGGGGATTCAAACATGGAGTTGGAAGGGGTGTGGAAGAAGGGGACTTTTAACCTGGGAGGAACCTCCACCTTCCTTAAGACCCCAGGCCAGTGAAAGGAGTTCCTTAGAACTTCCGCTGGAGTGATTGACTCTTAGTTCCCCCCCCCCCCCCCGCGCCACCACGCGAAATTTAAACATAAACCATTAAATCTCCGGGATAGAGAGAGATGGGAGTGGGGCTTGGCGCTAGGAAGTTCTTGCCCTTAAAACTATGCCCCCTTGTGGACTCAGAAAGAGAACACCTTCCCTCACTATTAATAAGCTTATCATGGGTCTGTAGGAAATGACTTCTCTTTTCATTCCTGTTGTCCTCGGAAGTGATGGAATAGGCACTGGAGTAGGGCTTTTCAAATTCTTGACACAGTGAGTTGAGGTCCTTCTGTTTCCCAGGATGATCAATCAATGCAAAAATTGAACTTTAAAGATTCGCTATTAAAAAGGAATGCTGCATAGATTAAATTGCCTTTGAAGTTTAGACCTATAACTTTGCTGGTGTATCAGTCTCCCAAGTAGATCATTTATTTTAGTGGTTTCAAAGACATATGGAAGAGAATCAGTCATCAGATAAGAACCAAAGGAAAGACACTGTGCAAACTCTCTCTGTCTCTCTCTGTGTTAAATGGAAATGTTTAACTCAGTGTCGTTGATTATGTATGTGGACTTGCCTAATACCTGGCATGTCATTAATTTGTAATGAATATAGCTTCCTTTTCTGTCTTTCCACTCAGATCCTACCTACACCTGACTAGATATAGCCATGAAGGATACTCCTGATTATAGGGTTAAAACAACAAAGGGCCAAAACAACAAAGTTTATGCAAAGATAGAGTTTTTCTTTTTTTTTTTTTTTAATGAAAAACATTTTATTGAGTATTACACATGCAAATTAAAAGTGAATCTATATTAAGTTGACTATTCCACAATCAACACCTATGCAATGGGAATGATCAAAACTGTCTACACAATACTAATGTGTTCCATAAATTATCCAGATGTTTTTCCACAAATATTTGGATTACCTGAATTAGCTGATTCAACAAAAGTTAAATTTTGCTTTAATATGGTAGCAGTGGCCTGCTATGAAGAAAAACATATGAATAAAAACCCTGAATAGCATAGTCAAATCTTTCAAGAAACAAGTTCACCAAAAAAGTGGCATACACCTATTTGTTATCCAGAGGAGGAAACAAAACAAAACACAGGCACTTAATCAACATCCATCAAGTGATCATCACTAACATTCTATTATTATCAGAGCAATTGTCCATATGTGAACTGTAGAGCAGAACAGACTTAAATGTCTAAAACCAGTAATCAATAATACATACAGAAATATTAACTTGAAGTCACATTTAAATACCATCAACAGTTTTTCAGTCATTAAAGATGGGTGGAGTGTGGGTGTTGTCACCAGTGTCCAGGAGGTAAGGGACAATATTTTGGAAAGGACAATCAAAATCCTTTTTTATTCACATTTCCTTTGCTCTTCACAAAAGATCCAGAGAGACATTAAAGTATGTTTTTTTTTAAGGGGTCAACTTTTTCTTCTTTGTTCCCCGCCCCCTTTATTTAGTAGATCAGATTTATGGCTGTGTCTCTTCTTAAAAGTTCCATCTTGTTTTATGGCAGTTTTCCCATCATCCCTCCTCGCAGTAGATGTGAAGCTGTTATTTAAAGACTTATTCCTAGAGGTATCAAAATGTTATAGATAGCAGAAAACATTGGAAAAGGATGATATGGAATCAAATTTGGGGATTGAAATGTATCAGAGAAGGGCAATTAACATGAAAAGCTGGCTCTCTGGGGCTCAACTGCCTGAACTTAATCTTGATTTCACTATTTATCAGCTGCATGATCTTAGGGCAAATGATTTACCAAGCTGTGCCTCAATTTCCTCATCTATAAAACAATAATAATAATATTACCTAGCGTTGCTGAGTTTTGTGAGGATGTAAATGAGCTAATAAATGTAAAGTACCTTGAAAAGTGACTGGAGAATGAGAAATGCTTATTAAAAGTTAGCTATTATTATTTTTCTTGTAATTATTATTTATATAGAGTGCTATACTTCTTTCATAAAAATATAATTAATTCCTCAGGAAATTAAAACACTGAGTTTGAGTCATGTGAGTGAGTAATAAACATGGGAAAAAACTAAGTCTTCTGATTCCCAGTTTCATCTGCTTCCCACCCACCGTACCACGATGGGATAGAAGAAAAAGTCAGAAACTTACTGAAGAAAGGAGGCATACAGGATATGTACAGTTTGCTCTGTTGAAAATCGTGATTGTTTTAGTCCCCAGGTTAGGTCCGATCAACAGATGGTTCAATTCAACACAGTAGAAAGAAGTTGTGTTTTGTTTTCTCTTTTCATTGTTCTCTATATGCTAAGCAAATCCTAATGTCTCCGGAAGTTTGCATTGCCTTTAAGGGATCTTCATTTTCTTTCCACCTCTTGGAGATTGTTGTTTCTTTCCCAACCTTAGTACTTGAATTGAAGAGACACCATTGTTTGCAATAGCGATTTATTTGATATTTTGCCCTTAATTCTAGTCTTGAACAAGTTTTTGTTTGCTGTGTTTGGTACGCTCATGTGTTGATCCTGCATCTTTCCATTGAACATCAACAAGGAAACCTTTCTGTGCTGAATATCTATCTGCAAGTAGAAAGATCCCCAAGATCTTACTTTAAATGAAAGCTGTGAGAAACATGACATATCCTGAGTTCTGTCCAGATTTACTTTGAAGATGTATGAAGAATGCAGGGATAGACACCATCACTCACGCCTTGTTATGTTTTAAGCTCCCCTCTTTGGCATATTTAAGTTGGGGAAGAGGTGATTATCCTGGATCAGAACGTTTGTCAAGGGTGTGTTCTTGATTTGTTCTGCGAAACAAGCTTTTAGCAAGGGAAGAGTGTGTCAGTATGAAGAACTTAAGAGAGGTGCGCCCTTGAGCCTCTGGTGAACTCTGTTCAGTGAAGTGAACAGATGGGAAACCCTGTTACTCTTTCAAGTCAAGGTCTTTCCACTCTGACTAAATGGTCTCTCACCACTAGAGCAAGGAGTCAAAACTCTTACACTCTGAAGAGCTTCAGGCTTTTTTCTTGATCCTTAAGGTCCAGCTTTAGTGACTGGAAATATATGGCTTTTCAATACTTTCAAAAAAGTGTTCTGAAAGGGAAATTAAACTCTGAAATCCATATTGTTTTGCAATTTTTACTCTTCTACAAGAATATTACCTGTGTAGCTAGCTGGAGCCTATATTTTAGAAAATAGGCGAAAGAAGATTGGAGGGGCTTAATGGACCCAGAAAGGTTACCTGGGTCCTGAAATTTCTCCCCCTTCAGCCCTAAAGCTCCTTTTATCTTAAATTGCATGAAGTTCCGCTAATAAGCTTTTCACTAAGTTGTGTGAGTGTCTTTCCTAAAAACTCAGTGGATCTCCGATAGGGACGTTAAAGAAGAATGTTCAGAGTTCACACACCTTAGTGTGCCCTGGTTTCATTAGATGGCTTCCTTCACCTATAGCCAGGGCACCAAATAACAGGAGAAGAGTGGATAATTTTATAGCAAGGACCAGTTAGAAAGGAATGATCCTACGGGAAGCACTGGCGTTAAAGTACTTTTACCTATTAAGTAGGGCATAGCTATGACAAAACAAAGCTAAACATTTCTAAAGAAGAAGACAGAGCAGAGGGTGAGAGGTGGAGCTTAGGTGTGAGTGGGAGGGGGTAGGGAGTAAGTAAAAATAAACGAATTTCTTTCTAATACCCACCCACTCATTTTCCTCTAATATCTACCCACTCATTTTCCAAGTGTGGTTGACTTTAAAATTGTATCTCTAGAGGAACTGTGATCCTATGTGTTGCTAGTGCAACAGTCTACTTCCAACAGCTCAGAACATTGTCTTGTTTGCAGCAGGCGTTAACAGACAAAAGATTGGGGTAGATGGTATTTTTAATGGAAGCTACAGCCTTATTAGATTTTTCAAAAGTCTACTTAGACTTGAATCTTTTTTCAAAAATCTATTCTAATGAAATAATCTGCATTTTAAAATTCAACCAACACAGATACTGAAGGCAAATATAAAATGTGTATATTAATATAAATACATGAGATTATCTTAAAATTAGTATTACAAAGCTATAAAAAGTTTAAAGTAGCATAATACTAAGTTATGTTTGGGAAAGTCATCTTATAGTCTCTTTTGAGGCTCATAAAAATTAATTATCCTTAGTCATAATTTTTTTTCCTAATTTAATTTCTCCAAGTCGTTGAAAATGTAGTTTTAAAATAAGGTCAAGTCAAAAATATTATTCGGTAATACGTACTAGATAACAACTGATGTATACCCAGAGAGAGCTGATAGCCCAAATGTGAAAGAGTGGAGTTTCTTGAACGTATATAAGAATTACCTGGGACAGTTTTTTAAAAGGAGGTTCTGACTTAGATCTGGGATGAAATCTAAGATTCTTTATTTCTAGTAAGCTCCCAGGTGATGTAGATGCTGCTGGTCAGACGACCAGCGAGGGGACGGAGACTCATGCATTAGTGATTATCAGGTAAACAAGGAGCACCTTAATCTCTTCACCCCATCACCTCTATGTTTACCAACCAGTAGAGACCTCTTTAAGTATATAGTAAATTCTGTGTAATATGAAGACTCTGAGAAACATACATTGTTCAAAGGCACCCAAGTAAGTCCTTGGAAACCAGGTGATGTTGTAAGCATTTGAAAGTCTGATAGCTCAGCAGCCATGCCTGGGGTGCCCTAGCCTGGATTACCTTTTGATGATAGGGGAAGTTAGTTTAATTGTTAATGGAATTGCCTTCCCCGATCTGCACCCTTACATTAATATTTGTTTTGAAAAGCACTATATCATTATAAGTACACTTTATTGTGTGTAATTTCCACCTCCTCTTCCTCCTCCTCTTTTTATGTTTTTGCAACAGCTGTGTGCAGTAAATTATCATTTATTATTATTACTAATTGCAATTTACAAAGGAGGAGTTGAGGCTTAGAGAAAGATCTGTGAGTGCCAGATCACATATCACTGGAGAAGTTCCGGAGCTAAGCCTAGTTCTAATGGGCTCTGGTATTCTTCACACACGAAACAATCCTTCCACCATTCCTTTCACTGCCAATTATGGCTACGTAAAAAGAAATAGGAAAAAACAGTATGCACACATTCCTTTCTTTTTTGTGACTTTTTTGTTTAAATCATGATGTGTCTCTGTGACCGAACCAAGAGGTTTGATTTGCTCTCCGAAAGGCACTACTTCCATATTCGACCAGCAGGGGGCACTATGGCATAGGAATTCAGCTTTGCTTGCTGATTACGGTTGCAAGGGCTGTTTCCCACCCCCACATTCTATGCAGTTTTTTTTAATTGTTTTCACTAGGTCCTTACTTACATTTATTAGATTGGCAGATGATATTCATCATTGGAAACAGTTCACCATACTTTACATTTAAGCATAGGTTTTTACCTTTTTTTTAATGTAAAAAAAGTTGTGGAAAAAAATTATACCTGATGTAGCAAATAAGTCTACCTTAAAAACCAAAAAATGGTTTCTCTTGTATCCATGATTTTAGAATTAAAAGATGTATTAAATTAGTGGCAAAAAGACACGAAGGCTCTGTTACTTTGATCCCTTGGTACCTAGAGCAAATGTTTGTCACACTTACTTTTCTGCTACAGATTAATTCTATTTTCCAAACACAGGAATAGATAAAAGAAGACAAGCTATGCTAGCCTGAGTTCCTCTGCATTCTTATTTTCCACAGATTCCATCAGAATAAAAGGCTGCTGTTCTAGGCAGGTCCAGGTTGAGCCGCTTCTTGCATCAAACCTTCAGTTCACTCTCCTGGGACTTTTCTGTTCCTTTCCAGGTCAATAGGGGAATAGAACCCACCTCCCTAAGAGTGAAATAATCTGAACTAGGGCTTCCAGGAAGTGAAAAGTCTGGCTGGTTGGCATTATTATTTCCAGCTTTACATATAGCAAGATCTTGCAATATCAGGAAGGGCTGTTAGGAAAATCAACGTGATTGTGTTTTAAGTTGCTTCTAAATGAGGTGGTTTGTTTTATTTTTTTTTTTATTGTAAACAACAAAATAAAATAAAATTCCAACCATAGGCTCTTCTGGGAACTTGCCTACCCCAAAATGGTCTCAATATGGAATATTGCTCCATCCTTTCCTATGCCTTGCCTTTGCCTTTTGTTTGCCGTTAGCTATTAATATAACCAATTAAAGACATCTCACATAGGATTCCAGCTGACTTCATCTAGTAAAGTTCTCTGTCTCCCCTTGGGGTACCCCTAGTCATACTGTGGAAGGGAGTCAAATCTAGAAGGAATCTTAGAAATGTTTGTTTTATGGGCCGCTAAAGTCCTTTCCCTCCCCTATCTCACCAGTGAAGAAGCCAGGTCCCCAATTATCACGCCATTTGCCAAAGGACACATTTCTACTTTCAGGGAGAGACTGGAACATCTCCGACTACAGTTACTGTTACTCTTGGGCAGTCATTTTTCAAACCATTATCAATATTGGTATTGATTCAGACACATACATTAGGAATAATTTTACTAGCAGGCCTTCCTATCTTAAGGTGTAGACTTAAAAATATTCCCATTTTAGCAGCAAAAAACTCATTAATGTAGGCATCTTCCCAAATTGAGTGTGAATGAGGAACCTGCAGTCTAAACAAAATGCTTGGTATCAAATATGAGCATGTTGTGATAACATGACCAAAAATATCTTTAAAAAATCATGGAAGAAAATTTAGATTTTAGATGTCACATTGGTTAACCCACTTTTCTGCGTATCAGAAGAGGTCCACAGTATTTCATTATTAGAGCAGTCACTTCTCAGTGTAGTTCACAGGCATCGCTGCTCTGGAATTTTGCGTTAAGGTGATCACACAGCGCTATGACATGAACAGAGACGTCTTGCAGAGCATCAACCCACCTGTATGAAATAGCACCACGAAATGCCGTTGGTTAATCAATTGCAGACCTATCATCTTTATATTTCTTAAACATATTCATATCTTCAGTTTCTACCAAGTCTTATAAAAACATATACTTCCTGAATGCAAAACATTCCTCTTTGTTTGCCCAAAACACGCTTTTTTTTTTTTTTTTTCAGTTTCAGCGTTCAGAATTCAGTGTTCAGAATTCTAGCAGATACTTTCTTGATAAGTTTACAGATTTTCATCAGAACCTTACTTGTCTACACTGACCTGGCTGTTAGTGTATTCCAATTTCATTAGGCCAGTGGACCCTTTTTAATGTCCTTATTTAGGGAATGATTACTTTTTTGAACCAGCTGGATTATAAGTAAATCCTGTCCAAAGGCAGTGTCCATTAGTCTAATGACCACATGCCTTGCAAGTGGAAACGTTTTTTGGACTTCTCTATAATGGGAAGATGACTATATGTATGGTGATTAGCAGAAGCTCCTTCCCAGTTTTATCTGCTATGATAAATTATTTACATTTTCACAAAGATGCATATGTCTGAGGTTTCATGTGTATCCTACACATATCTATGTTATCCACAATACTGTTTTTTTTTCCATTGCCTGACATAATAATCTTCACTCTATTTTTAGTTTTCTCTTTTTTTATTTGAATGCGATTTCAGTGCTTGAATAACATTGGATTCAAATAGCATACCCTTTTTTGTTACCTGACTTTATCAGACGTACTTTCTCAAAAGAAAATAATGTGAATACTAAGATAATGAGCATGGTAGCCATTAAGCTTTAGTAGAGGGAGAAATTTTAAAATTCCTTTATGTTTGAATCTATGAAAAGGGTGGCCTTAGTGGAAATGCAAAATAATGCAGATTTGCTAAACAGTTCTACATGTAATGGGAGTTATTGTGGAAACTCAGCCAATAAATCAATCGCACTTAAGAGGGGAAAACAGCCTAAGAATCCATGTTCCTGAAAAATGTCAGAGCCTCTGAAACTTGTGTGTGTGAAAAGCAATGTTTTAACTAAATATGATAATGATTTTTTCAACATCCTTCCTTTCTAATGTGAAATAACTAATAATGTACTCACATTGTCTGTAAGACTGAGGCTTGTTCTGAGTGTACCAAAGCTGTCTTTTAAGAACATTGCAAGGTTTTGTTTTGCAATTTTACTGTATTTACTGGTCAATTAATTGCAATTAGAATGGGACTTCTTTATATAACCTTTCATACAGAAATGATTCTGTTACTATAATGGAAAAAGAGTCATTAACGCCAGTAAAAGAGAGAATGAAGTTTTTAAAGATAAAGAATAAATCTCTTACACTTCCACCATTCTAAACAGAACAGATCTCCTTTGAGCCTATCCTTTTTACTGACACTAGCCAGAAAGCAACTGTGGATGAAGGGCTTTCTAGATAAATTCTTAAATCAAAAAGTGTTGGGAAACTCAGATTTACAAAAGAGAGAAACATTAGCAGCTTGTGTCCCGGTCAAGACAAGGCCAGTGAACTCCTTGATACACTTCATGCCCTCATCTATAACATGGCTTAATAATAGTACCTACTGGCTGCTGTTAGTATTGAAGGAGCCAATGTATGCAAGCCAATCACTTAACAAATGTCCGTTGTTCTGTTTGTCATTTTTTGCTTATACTTCCTGACAACAACCAGAAACCTTAGAATAGCGAACTCTTCACTTTAGGGAAGGCTAAGTCAGCGTTAGGTGTTTCCATCTTAAAGCGCACGAGCCAGACTGGGCAGAGCAGCAGCATCACCGATTGCCACTCTCATAACTGTCTGGCTAAGATTCCCATGTCGTTTGTGGTGTTAACTACAAAATGCATCGACCAAATTATCCCCACGGTTTCTTCACAGGGTCAGAATGACACAGAAAGTAGAGTAGGCCCAGTGATCTGATACCACAGAGCCAGAACTCTCAGCAGAATACACAGTAGGGTCCTTGCATAGGGTCTCCTGAAGACCTGAGACCATTTTTCAGGAGAGAGTTAGGAGTAGATCCTGCTGCTTCTTAAAAAGAATCTAGGATAGTAGATTCCACTTCTTCCCTTCTCCTGTCCAGGTTTCACGTGAGCTTGCAAGAACCTATCAACCCTCAACAACTTTGACCTTAAGTCCAAATCTTAAAGAGATGAAAATTCTCCTCTTCTATGAAAAATTGTTGAGAAAGCTGCTCTGGAAGATGTAAGAAAATAATTGATAGTTTTTTTTCCTGTTTTACTTGAGAAATTCTCTTACATTTCTGAATCGGAATGCTTAGTCCTCCAGAATGTTTGAGTGCCATGTTCAGTATTTTGGCTCTTCACCTGAGAGTGTATGAGTCCCTTTATGATTATACTTTTATACTTACTATCTTGCCTTGTGATGCCTCACGCACACACTAGGTTAGAAAGCACTTGAGCAAAGCAGGCATAGCGTTGTTAACAGCATACAAGCTCTCATTTTTTTACAATTCCTCATAACGCATTCCGAAAACAAAGCAAAAAAACCCAAAAGTCTTGATAAAAACAACAACAAAAAATTCTACCTAGGAAAATTCAAGCAGGGTGGGATATATGTATATATTTGCTTTGTAGCAGGACTGTGGGTGATTCATATTGTTTGCTATGTGTAAGCTATCTTAAAACACATCCTTAACACAATTTTAGATCACACATAGTTCTGATTTAAATAAGTACCATTACATGTAATAGTGTTAAGCAAAGAAACTTTCACAAGTTAAATAGAGAACAATGAAGCTTAAATAAACAGGAATTTCTTATTTAGAGTAAGAATAATGTTAGTTGAAATGGTACCTGAAAACCACTTAAACGTTTATCTGTGCCCGGGATTTTGGCAGTTCTGTCTGTTTGCGTGTGCTCTTGCACAGGGTGCTGTTTGCATTGCTCTCAGGTGTTGTGTAGCAGCCAGCTTTTCATTAGGATAGTGAATTAGAACTCTCAGCAAACTTTATTAAGTACTAATTTTAGTTTATGAAAACTAAATTTAAGTAATTCAATAACTTTTCAATAATCTACTGGTAAGGATGCTCTAGACATAGGTAAATGGTCGTCTACATTGTTAGTCCCTGAGGATAGAGAAGAGAATTTTCATAATTGGATGAACTGAGTCATCAGGGTCACCAGGAGTGTTTTTGAGTCCTGCTAGTGGCAGTGAGTTCTACACTAAAAATGACCGACATTGCCATCAGAAAGGCAAGGATGCCTGTCTGGTGTAGGACAAGTTGCCTGATTCATTCAGTTTTCTCATCTGTGAAGCAGGGATCCTTATACCTCATGGAGTTGTCACAGGAATTTAAATGATATAGTGCCTGTAAAGCTTTTAGCACATTGCCTGGCATAAGTGAAGTTGTTCTATAAACATTAGTTATTGTGATTCATTTTGTTATCTTTCACAAGTTTCAGCAGAGTACCAGGAAGTGGTAGTTGCATATTCAATTGAAGTGGATGAAATCAGAATGTATTTTAAAACTAGCAAGCATATAAAGGACCTGCTTTGATTTTTCCTAGAGCTGATATATATGTCAGAAATCATCTTTATATCAGAGTAAATGTAGGCAAGATAAATAAATAACATATAGAAAAAAATTCTTTTTTATAGTCTGTTCTGTTTCTAGAAGAGCATGTTTAATAAAATATTTTGTGTAATTTTTGTTGGTTTACTAAACAGCACATTTTAGCACTTCTAGATGTGAGGTAAAGAATTAGGAAAAGTATGATCCTATGTCTGGTATTTCAGTCTAGTAGTCTTTATGCATTTATTTAGCAACTATTTGTTGAGTGCTAACTATGTGTCAGGCTTTAACAGTGGGTGTAAACAAAATAGAATTTGGATCCTCGTAGAACATAATTCTATAGGAAAAGATCAATAACAAAGAAAAAAGATATAATATGATGTGATTATAATATAATATCTATGAAGAAAAGCATAGCAGGAAAATGGGTAAAACCATGCTGGACAGTAAAAGGAGATTATATTAGAAAAAAATTACAAGAGTCTTCTTTGAAAGGGGACATTTTATTGCACATGAGAATGAAATAAGAAAAGTAGTCATGTGACTGTCTTGGTGAAGAGGATCACAAGGCATGTTTGCAATAGCAAATGTGGATGCTTGAAGAAGAATAAGAAGACCTGGGTAGCTGGAGGAGCATGAGCAGGAAGGAAAAGAATAGCAGGCGAGGAAGAGCAGGAAGGTGGCCGGATGCCTTCTCATATCATTCAGGTTATTGAAAAGGGTCTGAATTTTACCCTAAGTGTGTTGGAAAGCATTGGCAACATTTGATCATGGGGATGACTTTTGTTTTTTTAAAAATGGTAACTCTGGCTTCAGGGTAGCCAATAGATTGCAGAGAAAAAAGAGAGAGGGGAAACAAACATATTAGGATGCTCTATCAGGAGTCCACAAAAGAGATGGTGGTAGCTTAGATTTAGGTGGTTGTGAGGTTCAAGCCAAGATGTGGTAAAATCCCACATGCATTTTAGAGGCAGAGTAGACAGCACTTGCTGACGGATTAGATGTGTGGAGTGGAAGAAAGCAGGATTTAAATATATTCTTAAATCTTGACCCACTCAATTGTGAGAATAGTGGTGTTATTAGAGGATGCCTAGTTGCAAAGGGAAGATCAAGAGCTGTTTCTTTTTCTGGAGGTTGAAGTGGAAAAATGGAGGTTTTGTTGTTTTTAGAATTCGGCTTTGATATACCTAGTGGACATCCAAGCAGATAGAAAGATAACATGAGTCAGGATTTCCAGGGAGAGTTGAGGCTGGAGGTGCGAGCATAGCATCGTCACATATAGATTGATTGTAGTCGCAGGACAAGATGAAATTAACCAGAAAGGGAGTTTAGATGAGGAAGACGTATGAAAACTGAGCCTTCTCATATTTGGAGGTCACAAAATAACAGAAGAGGCTGGGAATAAATGGTCAGCAAGCCAGGAAAAATAGAACTAGCATGTGACATCCTGAAAGCTGAAGGAATAAAGTGTTTCAAAAAAGCAAATAATTTACTGTGTCAAATATTTTATTTACAGGATAGAGAAACAGTCTTCTATTACAAAACCTAGAAAATGGCAACATGGAGGCAACAAAGTGGCTACTCTCTGGAGATGACACCTGTTATTTGAAAATGTCTTAGGTTTATTTGCTGCCTGTGATTTTTCTTGCATAATTCTCTGATTTTCTTCTTTCCCTGGGAATTGTATATGTCAGCAGCAAGTGAGCAGTAATTTTGCCAGATTCTCATGTAGAGAGAAAGTCATGAAGAAATAGTCGATTAAGCCTATTTTTCAAATCTATCTACTGCTAAAGGAACATTTCCATGTAACAAACTTCAGAGAATAAAAAATACTAGTAAAAATAAAGTTGTTATTATAAAAGTGAGGAACAATATACCTTTTATCTCAAAATTTCAAAAAATCCAAACTTTGAAACAGCCCAATTTTACCTATCTCTCTCATTTTCTCTTAAGTTCTTTTTGTTTTCCACAGCTAAAATATCTTTACCTCCTTAAATTAACAGACAGATTCCTATTTTGTGTATTTTGAAAACAGCACACAATCCTCTCATCCTTCTCCCTGAAATATTTCATTGAACTTCTGCATACGTGTCACAAGGCTCAAATTTCAGCAAGCAGATAAATTAAATGACCAAAGAGACCAGGTATCATGAGAAATACAACTTTGTCTAAAGAGGTCACTGAGTCCTGGAAATAAATGTCAGTATGATAAGAGAAACAGAAGTAATGTTTAGAGCTTTGGATGCTAAAGAAAGAAATAGTTTCAAAGAAGGAAAACGTCCAGTATACATTTTTCTTTTTTTTTGGCAGCAAAAGGGCCCTCAAATTGCAATGCCTAGAAAATGATAACACTGGACAACAGGATGGCTTCTCCCCCGAGATGGCACCTGTTGGTTTGAAAATGTCTTGGGTTTACTTGTTGCCTGCAATTTATGCATTATAGTTCGCCCTTTTTTCTTCTTTCCCGGGAATGTTTCCATGTCTCCCAAATTTTAAAGAAATGAAGACTTAAAGTAAAATCTGTTGATTTTTAAACATTGTACATTTTGCATTTTTTTTAAAGACAACCTTCCTATGTTGCCCAAGCTGGTCTTGGACTCCTGGCCTCTGGCAATCTTCCTGCCTTACCCTCCCTGGTAGCTAGAACTGCAGGTGTGCACTGCTGTACCCAGCTCATTTTGCTTTTAATACACTACATTGGCCAAATCACCCAGTTAGGAGCCCTGATGTAGCTTTTCAAATACCCGTTTGAAAACTTTACTCCTTTCTTTTCACGTATTTATTGATGTATGAAACGTGTTTCTCAGGCACCGACTATGACCAATTGCAAATAATGTTACTTTCACTCCAAACTTCCTCTTTGTCCTCTGTTACTGTATGTCAGTTCTCCTTTTCCCCTAAAGTTCAAATTATTCTGGTCTGAGATTATATCTCAAAAATTGGAACTGATTTATGATGTTTAATATTTGCATAACTTTTTAAAAAGACGTCTCTTTTTCACCTTACCTATTGCAGTCTAAGGTACCTTCTCATGACTTAGATGCTTTGACATTTCTGTTCCTCTTCCATAATCCTGTCATTTGGCAATGTTTTATAGTCAGGGCTATCAGAACACTGGGATAGTAAAACGCATCCTATGGTGATAATCTGTAAATAATTTGAACTTAGCCAACTTTTTATGTAGCAGGATAATAACAACGGAGGTAGCTGTGTTTGGAGTTAGAAAGGCATTAAGACAATCATATAAAAAGCTTACCTGAGAAGATATTTGCAGTTTAATTTCTCCTATAGGGTATTGTTGCTAGGTCTGGTATTATTAAATAAGTTTGATTTGATAAATGTGTCACAAGTCATGATATAAACCTTGCATTCAAGTCATTTTAGAATTGCATGATTGGCTCTGTCAGTGATAAACGGATAGTAATTCAAGAGAGAGAGACACCTCGATGATTATCATAGATGGCAATTTGATAAACTGATAAGTAAGTTTCATAATCTGCCTCATTAACAGCAAAAATTAATCTCCAGAGATGTTTACAAATGAATAAGTCAATTGCTCATAAGATTTTTTTTGTAATTATCAGAATAATAGATAACTAAATGGGGTAGTCCCTCTGTATATACCTCTCTGAATTGTACTAGAAACTGCATGTAAAAGAAAAAAGACATAATTGAGGAAATTACTTTCAATTGTTTCTCATTCATCCCTAAGCCATTTGTTGCTGCCTGACCATTTTAATTCTTATTCTTCTGTGTAAATTAGAAGCTTAGTTAGCAACAGAGAGTCTCAGATCTGGGATTAAGACTCATTGATCCATTTGCTAAAAGCCAGTCTATGTGATTAGTATGTTGGAACTTAAATAACCAAGAATAGGAGCCCTGGCCATAAAGCTGCATTCTAACAAAGACCAATATTGTGCCAGGTTTCCCAAATCTTCAGTATCATGTATTAGATTTTCAAAATAAGTGATAAAATCCCTAATAAGTATAT